CGAGGTCCAGTTGTACGACCTCAATCACAGAGTTATGTAAATCTTTTCCCTATTCAATTTCTAAGTCAATTCGCAAATGTCACGATAGCTTTTTGTTCAAGATGGTCAAGAGTTTTTCTTATATCGCCTTTAAGATCTGTAGCCGATGACAAACACCTCGCTCCAATCTTTATCTGTGACAGCTGCCACGCTCTTGTCGCCTTCTTCGTGCACAAGCTTGATGGTCAAGGTCCCGTCTCCAACTGGAAACCACATATTGGCTGAGTTGACAGTATTTATGCCTTGCCCAGTCGCCATATTCAGGAACTGTGAAAACTTCTTTTCTCCTTGAGAAGTTGAGAACTCGAAGTAGCCTCGGTGAAACTTTCCTTCTCCGTGAGCTGTAACGTAGGAGTAGATCAAAACTTCTCTTGCTTTAGCTGGAAGCTCCAGCTTGTAAGTTATTTCCTGCCCATTTTTTTCAGGCAGAGTGCCAAAACGCAACTGGATTGGTTCATAGAAAGAAGCACTCATGGTTTGTTTGATGATGAAGTGAAACTTGCCAAATTTCGACCCGACTTCTCCGCGTTTGAACAGAATTAAATTGCGACAGGTTTCCTGATACGGTGGTATTTTATAGCAGGGAACTGTCCCCAGCTGTCACGATTGCATCCAATGAAATTACTCAGGAGCTGCATGGACTATTTCTCAATCGCTTTCATTTTTTAATTGGGCAACTTTCAAAAATAACATTTCCTAATCTTTTTCCACGAGGTGTTTAATTACCGAAGTTAATGAATCCTAACGTGTTGCTTTGTCCTTTGGGAATTATCATCTCAAAGTAAAAACAACGCAGACAAACAAACTAATTTTTTTTTGTAGCCTCAATATATAGCTAGAATAGAGACTTTACTCCGTGAGAGATGGGTGTTTATGTTACGCGACTCAACGAGTTTCACAATTCGGACATTACGAATTAGCACAAGTCTCATCAGACTTTTAACCTTCATTAAATATCTAGAGATGCAGCAATGATGCTTCAGCGATGGGTCTCGACACGTATTTACAATCGCTTTATTTTGGATAAGAAGTCTCGAAATTTTTAATCCGGATTTTTCAAATTCTCGTATTTTACTTTCATTGCCAAGGGTCTTGAAAAGATGGTGAACAGAGAGGTGTATTGTTATTGTTATGAGCGACCACAGTCTGTATGGTGGGGCTATGTATGAATGCAGGAACATGCGGGTACTTATTTAGAGTCTGACTCAGTGGCTTGAATTGTTCACTAATTTTGAATTACAATGAAGCCGTCGGTACATCGCAAAAATCAACGCAAAAGTAATATCACAAAGAGTGCGCAATGTTTTGCTATCATCTCTACTACTTTGAAATGATATTACGAAAACAAGGACTGCATTAATAAGAGGCTCTTCATCTTAAACTAGTCCTGGTCACTAATTTTTAAAAAAGGATCCTTTTAATAAAGAAACAGCCTTCACAGGCAAACTGTAATTATAAAAATTACAAAAAAGAAGCTTAATGTTGTTTCACACCCCCCAAATATTCGTTGATAAAGCTGGCGGTGTGCCAATATAACTTTAAAACCTGTCCGCCGTAGCATGAGAGCCAGAATGGGATCAAACCTAGATACCATACAACATCTAGCCTTTACATATCCCTTCGATTTCTTCAATCATCGTCCAGAGGGTGAGGGTCTGAGGGTGCGCTAAAGAGGGGGTGGGGTGGGGAAAGAGCAGGGAAAAAAAAAAGGCGCCGATCCGCGCTCCCCCTCGCCGTGCTCCCCTTCGCCGCGCTCCCTCTCGCCGCGCTTGACAAAGGGCTAATGCTCGAAACCGCCAGACATTACCCGTTTTTTCACAAAACAAGAGAACAACAGAACCTTTGTAAACTCATCGCATCCGCAGTTTATGAAATATTAATTTTTATCTAATGGCAAAATATACTGTCATTCGAGGTCCTTTTACGGTCTTGTCTACAGCTTTCCTTCCCAATGTCTTTTTCTGTCCTACTTTCGTTTTACAAAGCCACTTTGAAAATATCACGATAATATTTTGTCGCATAAATTCTGTTCGAGTACTGATTCATGTGTTTAACTTTTGCTTCATTTAAGGTCTGTAACCGATAACGTACACCTCGCTCCAATCTTGCTCTGGATTAACTTTGCCTGCCACGCTCTTTCCGTCTTCTTCGTGAAAAAGCTTCACGGTCAAGGTTCCCTCTCCAGCTGATAACCACATATTGATATCAGCTGAGTTGGCAGTAGTTATGCTTTGCCCAGTCGCTACAGCAAAATACTGTGCAAACTTCTTACCTCTCCGAGACGTAGAGAACTCGAAAAAGCCTTTTTGAATTGAGTAGTATCGGCAGATGCGAAGATCAAAACCTCTTTAGCTCCATCTGGTAGCTTGAAGATTTTTTCTTCCTCACTCTTTTCTGGAAGAATGCCCAACCTTTCTCTCACTGGCTCGTAAACAGCAGCACACATGGCTGGGCTGTAGAATTCAAGCTTGCAAAATTACACTTGAGCCCCTTCTGCGTTGAAACAAAGTTAAAATGTGACAAAACAACTTGAAAGGAGGGTTGATATATTTTAAGGGCTGTTCCCAGCTCTCTCTCTATATATCCAATCAAAATAACTCGGAGAGATGAAGAGAGAGCGCAAGTAATATATCTGACTAGCTTTTATCCAGGTTCTGTTTATATCAAAAGCTTTTATCCATGATCTGTAGGAGGCTTTTTTTTTTTAAAAAATATCAATTTTTTTTCCCACGGGATGGTTGAGAAGGAACGGAAAGTACTTCCGATCTATTTTCTCTCAAAGGAATTATCGTCTTTCAACACGCACAACGTAGGCAAAGAAACGAAAACTTTTTGGAACAGCAATGTCACTCGAATTAACACAACATCAAGAGTCATCCCGGTCTTCACACACAAACAATACTCTTTTTACTGAGTTAATTTTCAGATCATTAAAAGGGGACATTGGTGTTTGCAGTGTTGCTGGGTTTTTTTTTTTTTGGGCGAAATTGCAGTTCGGACCTCAAAACCTGCGGCTTTATTCTATTTGTGTTGTCAGAAGTGAGACGAAATGAATTAGATCGTTGTTTCTTATTTGGTAGACCTTTGTTGTGGGACCTTGTGTCCTTATCAGTGCTAAATTTAGCTTATCTTAGCGGCAAAAATTCTATAAAATGGTTTAGAGGATCTGAAACACCGGTTGTAAACTTATGCTTGCTTTAGTGGGCATATTGATTAAGAAGTGTAAGCAAAAATCTATCAGATCTGGACGATCAGTATCCACGACACCTGCAAAGATATGGTGCAGCTTTGTGTTTAGCAAGAAAGTATGAGCCAGAGAACCCATTCCCTCGGTGATTACTATTTTTTTAAATCTAGTTCTGGCACTCGGTCGTACTGCGACTACAACATTTGGACACGCAAGTGCCGTTAAGTGCTGACCTCTAAGCTGCAATACCGTAATACTGTTATCAATTGTTGGAGAGTTAGTAGGGGATACATACGACTGCTTGCACGAGTCCCTGCGGTTAGGAAGAAATTCTAAAACCGCCAACACAAATTGGTCGATGGTAAGCGAGTCTGACCTAAGGTTAGGCACTATTTTTCGTTTAGGGATTACTACACCTGTGTGCCGACAAATTGATAAGTCCAGGGTTAGTATAAGGGGACAATGCATGGTTATCACACATAATTGGTGTCGATGTCTTGTCAACTTTCCTCGTGATAGCGCAGAGTTCAGTTTTATTTTCTTGCGCTGCAGTGGCATTTAGAGCTTCCCACGCCTGCGCAACAAACTTATCCTATCACCTCACAGTAATCTCGTGATGTGGGTTCTTTAACGTCCCCTGCCTTACCAAATTAACTAATTGACAGATGCAAGAGACGGACCTCCGGCTTTACGTCTTATCTGAGAAGACGAAGCAATGTGAGTGAAGTGTCTTGCTTAAGGACACAACGTCATGCCCCAGCCAGGACTTGAACCCGGGTCGTCTGACACAGAATCCAGCGCACTCACCACTGGACTACTCACGCCTCTGGACTCAATTCGCCCCTGGTAAGCTTTATCGACGGTTTAATCATGATACTTGACAAACAAAGGTCCATGGACTGGGGGTGACGTTCGAAGTATAAAAATCTATGGTTAACATAAATATGTCCGTGTAGTATTGATTGCTTTCGAAAAATTTGTCAAACGTATAACCAGGTAGTTTGGTCGAATAAGGGTGATAATAAATTTTCGATGGTTGGCGTAGAGTGCGAGTTTGTCTTCCCACGTCCTTGTCTGGTAGACACAATTCATAACTTATGGTTCGTTCTGCACCTCACGCAAGTGGTAGACCATTCTCATTTCGACAATGGCACTCATTGTCTCGCGTGGAGTTAAGTTATAGGGGGAAGGTCGGCCAAGTAAATCAACAAATTCAGTAGGCCTAGTGTAGTTGCCAGCTACTTCGCCGAAGGGGAGGCGGGAGGGCGAGAGGAGCTAATAAAAATTGTAGCTTAGTAAAAGCTTAAGTAATTTGAGACCTAGTAAAAGACACGCAATGCAAATATACCTCGAAAATGTTGACGTACCACGCCTCCTTGACACCGTGAAGACCTGCACGGAGAAAGTGTCACTTTTTGAAAATATTGTTAAGACGGGCCTAGACTTTATTATTCCCCTTCGATCCAAAACTGTTCATCGAAGCGAGCCACCGTGGTTGAACGATAAACTCAAGAACTTGATCAAACTACATCAGCGAAGATTTGGAACGGACCAAAGAAGGGCATTCAGAATCATCTATCCTGACCTGTCATATAGTGTAGCACTAGAAACAGCTGGCCTACCAAAACTTCACGAGAGGAGAGAAAAGATTTCAACTAATCTGTTTGACGAGATAGTCCGTAACCCCACCCATAGACTCTACAGCCTCCTCCCTCAAAGGAAGAGTTGTAGATACGCACTAAGGCGCAAAAGTGATTTCACTCTTCCCATATGCAAAACCGAGCGCTTGAAAAACATTTTTATTTTTAGCTATATTTATAAAATGTAGATAATTCTCCTTCTTTTATCATCTGTATTTGTAAATATTCCGTAATTCAGCCTATGGTTGCAAGGTGCTTATAATAAAGTATCTATCTATCTATCTAGTTAGGGAGACTTTTTCCCTCGCATCCCAACTCATCCCCATCAACGCCGTCTATGATGATGTGATTCCGAGCGAAACTAGAAAACTGGGTAAAACCAGGCTATTACCAGCACTGTATTAATTTACTTTTCACAGCGGATAATCAGTGCGGACTAGCGTAGAGTATCAACGGGCATTCTAACCTAGTACACCGTTTTCTAGTAATTTTAAAGGAGTCCTTATTCCCCCGTCATAAATGTTATATCCAGCCTGGTTGATCTTGCTGTCTGTTATGGGAACGATGCTTATACTTGCGGCTCCTCACGGCAAAGCAGCCTGATAAAGGCCACGAATATAAAATGCTAAGCACATTTAAAGGCTACTGCTTCTCTTAGCGGAGACAAGTCAAGAAACACTGGTCCATCATTAAAATGAGTCCCAAATGAAAAACAGTTTCCTCCGCCCCCAAGAACCATAATGCCTTGCGAATCTTCCCAACAGACACTGCAGTGGTTGTGAAGCATTAGAGGAATTGAGGGTGTTAAACACGCCTGAAAGAAAATAAGTGGACATCCAAGAAAACAGTAAACAAAGGAACAAATAAGAACTTATTAACAATAACGACAATTCTAAGCTTCCTCTGCGCTTACTGGTAGACGTACGTAAAGGTTTCGTGTGATATTTGAATGCACACAACTTATCACGTTTCAGCATAGATAACTAAAAATATACACAAACAAAAATTAAAACGATTCATAAAACAAGAAATAAAATTGAGAATTTCAAATGACTCCACAAATACTAGGGATACACGAAACTCTCGAGGATGATTTTTGTTCTTTCTAGCGGACATTTATCTTAACGACTTATAATGAATGGAAGAAAACTTGGGGAATCAGAGCAAAAAATAACGTCAAACCAACCGGAAGTGTATAAGATTTCCAGGTCAGATTCTTCAGATGCAACACAATAACCCCTGGGGGATGGGAGGAAATCGGAGTCACTCCGCCAATAAGAACGAGATTGTCATCAACAACATGAGCTGTGTGGGAGTATCTAAAGAAAAAAAAGAAACAAAAATACAATAAGAAACAAACACATACACAAATAAATATCGTCCATTTCCTATGTGCAATCTCTTCATCGTGGAATGCTTCTATAATTCATCTTGTCTTCAGTTTTGCACGCGTCGTAGGGCGTTCCCGCGAGATATTTCACAGTGTTTGTATCAGTGTCCACGTATTTCACAGTGTTTGTATCAGTGTCCACGTATTTCACAGTGTTTGTATCAG